GGGGGCTCCATCTATACTGTAGATGTGCTCAGAACATGTTACACTTTCAATTGTTACCCAGTGACACCGGGGCCGCGCATCCGGTTCTTGAGTTAGTCAAAATGGCTGGAGACTTTCCTTGCTGATCTCGTCTTAATCCTAAGCGAAATTAGGCTAAATCCTCTATTTGGTTGTATGAGGACTTTAAAGGTTTTCAGACAGCCGCAGGGAAACACCTGGCTATCACACTGCAACTATTTGCAAACGGCTCGACTATCAAATCAGTTATGCCTAAAAGGAAAGTTAACAAAAGCGGAATGAAACGTCCAAATAAAATATTGACTAAAAGAACAGGAAAGACTCATTTAGTCTTGATCGTCATTAAACATAAATTAGATTAGCTGAGAAGAAAATAGGAAGATTGTGTTACGGAGAGTTTTCAAGTGGAAAGATTTTCATGCCTCCAAAATTCGGTATGCAAACTGCCTGGGCTCGAACACTGATATATATCACTCATCTCATGTATTGATTTTAGCATACCCTAACACTGCCAAACGTAAGACTTAGTATTAATTATAAAAATAAAAATAAAAACAAATCAACTATTGGATAAGCAATACTTGTATTTAAAAAAAAATGATTTGATTTGTTTATTTAATGACATATCTTCATCTTATGGGTCATTTAATGCCGAAATTAGATTTTTTGGAGAACTTTGAAGTAATAAAAATATATGTTATTCTGCTTTCACAGTTGAATACATGGTAGATGATGCTCAGCTTTTATGCATATACATGTTTGTAGGGGACATGATTACTAGGGAAGGTTGATTTTTCACGTTTTTACAAAATCAACATTGCACTCGATGTGAAAGATGATGTGATAAGTATTGACGCCAAAAATTCATAGATTTTACAAATTTTTGAGCATTCAGTTTTAAAGATTGTCTAAAAAGTAAAGAGAAAAACCTAATTTCCGCTGCTTTTGCTTACAAACTGACTTCAAAATTGTACTATTTCAAAATAAATCTAAATAAAATTGATATCTTTTGTTTTAGACAGATCTATCTAATGATGGATACAGGGTGCGATGGATGAATTTGTCGTCTAAATTACGCAAAAATAAAATAACACTGACTTCTCATATTAACAGATATATTGATCAAAATTGTACAAAAAAATATCTTGAAATACTAAAGTGTAAATTTATTCACCGCCACTCGCTTCAACGACGGTCTTCAGTTGATTTCGGAATCTCCTGCAATTCTTCTGAACGGTCTCCTTGTTTAAGTTGGTGAATACTGCCATTATCCTTTAGTTCATCTTTGGTGTTACAAGGAGATTTCTTGGTTTCTCAACTGCGCCAGACTCATAATAATCAAGGGGGTTGCAATCTGGGGAATTAGCTGGCTAGATGTAAGGGATGATGTAGTCGCAGAAATTCTCTGACAGCCGTGACTGGGTTTTCCTGCTTGAGTGCCATCGTGCAGAATCCTGTTGCTAGACATAGGGTCTTCCAGCAACCGCTCGCTTGAATCAGGGCTTCACTACCTCCACAAGGCATTTGATGTAAGCCTCAGTGTTGAGTCTGAGGCCCTCGCCAACACATTCGGAAGTTCTTTTCTTATCCGAAGAATCAAGGTGAGTTTTCCGAGCTGCTCTACCTTCGTAATCACCATTAGATTCATCCACCTCTTTCGGAATCCTCTTCACTATATTCATACTGGTACTTCCGGTTCGAATGCCAAGCAGAACATCATACCGTTTCCAAATTTCAGGCGGCGTGAACAGCGTCATGTTTTTCTCTCACAAACAGTGCCCAACTGACCCTACTATACTGTGCAGTATCAAAAGCAAACAACGCGCATGCGCGAAATGAAATTTAGAAAATGGCGACAAATTACCCATATATATCTGGGACTTTACACAGGCGGCTATACGAGTGAATACGAGTCTCAGTCCGTTCACAAATCTCAGAAGATGCACGAGTAATTGCCATCTTGTATAAAAGAAAACTGGTCTCTTTTGATGATTAAATATTTACCATGGATTAGACATCAAAATATTGTTTGTAATTATAAGAATGGTACTGAAGGGATTCATTTCCGAACGTCATCATCGTCAATACACGCCTACACCTCCTCCCAAAATCCCCTCGTAATTGAAATTGTGCTTCTGTCATTTCGAGTTCTTTTTAGAAATTTCCAATAGAATTAGTACCGTGTTTGTCACCATAGCATCGGGCAGTTCACAATGTAGGCGATTGTCTCGAGCATCCATTCTATTTTTGCTAGCAGAGAATAGATAAATGGATTTCACGTCGAACTTTGCTCTTGGTGTTGGTCTTTGTGTATTTGATTTGTGCTCACGTGACTGTGTATGTTTTTCTAAGCTTCTGATTCGCCGAATCTGTAGCTACGTCACTCCTTATCTCTGCAAGCATTTCTTAAATCCTCCGTCGCTTAGAAAGCGTCTGTATCATTGTCCTTCGATGAATCAAAGTGAATCGGCGCGCACGGACAGAAATCTGTACGCGTGAAATTACTTACATTTGTTTGACATGCAAATTATGCCAAAGGAGGCGATTTCTTTACAATTATTCACCCAACACAAGTCTCAAGAGCCACTCAAGGCAGAAGATTATTAACTTTGCTTTAAATGCGTATAAAGAAAAGAACCGCCTATTATGAAGCTATATAGGACAATTAAAAACCTAGACTTAAAGAATGTAGTGATTGGGGAAACACCTTCTCGGGAGTTTGAGCTTTTGATATGAAAGGAATGAGAATGAATCGATTGTACGCGGGCTGGTGGGTCTTAGCTATGAAGCAGTTCTGAACTGGTGAAATTAAAGAATGTAGTTCACCCGAATGTCTGCCATGAGAATAGTAGTAAGAGGCTGCAACTTTTCGTCTGTGAGAAAAGGCTTGTAGGGTGGAAAACAATTAGATATAGGCAGCGTGTTTCGTTCCCAGTTTGAAAAAAATAATTATTTGTGTACTATTTCTCTTCACGGTATTTTCAACTCGTAACTGGAGAGATCTGTAACAACAGAAATGTGGTTCTACAGAAGGATGCTAAGGATACCAAGGATTGAATATTTCAGCAACGACGAAATTTTAGATAAAGCGGAAAAAAAAGGAAACTTTGGCAATTACTCGTGCATCTTCTGAGATGTGTAAACGGACTGAGACTCGTATTCACTCGTATAGGCGCCTGTGTAAAGTCCCAGTCATAACATCAGAAAGTGACAGTTGAAATTTCTAGGGCACATAATTAGGAAAGAAGGCTTGGAAAATCTGATAGTCACAGGACAGACTGAAGGCAAAGAGGGATAGAGGAAAACAACGCATAACCTACCTAGCAAGTTTTAGAGAAAATGACAACAAAAAGGACATTTAAACTTAACATCAGGAAGAGAGAGTTGAAATTTCTAGGGCATATAGTGAGGAAAGAAGGCTTGGAAAATCTGATACTCACGGGACAGATTGAATGTAAGACAAAGGAAAACAACGCATAACATAATTAGTGAGCTTGAGCAAAGGGATTTAAGAGGAATTAAAAAAAACATAATTTATTAGGAGCTACAAAAGTCAGGAAATTGTGGAGAGCCATGATCGCCTACGTCCTGAAGGAACAAGGTACATAAAGAAGAGACAAAAAAATAATGAAAACCCTTTTCCTAAAAATCAACAGGAGTAAAATTAATATTGAAATAATAATAGCAAATGCTTTTTTTTTCTAAAAGACAACAACATTAAATTGAGATGAAACACTTTATAAAATGTTATGGGGTCCTTCCCTTTTTCATATAAGTGGACTCGACCAAAGTGTTACTTGGACTGCTGCCGTGAAATACCCAGAGTCCGTCGCTCACTTTCTGAGCGACTGTTCGGTTCAACTCTCTGTCTACGGACGGAGAGGAGCCCGAAGGAGGCTACGCCGAAGGGCGGAGTCTCCTTCGGGGAGGTAAAACCGGCCCTGAACCCGTTTATACGAGTTCAAATGGGCTATTTTTTGGACGAGCCTAATGGCTCGGAAATGCCCACGTTAAAAAGGCCTTGTGCCACATGACGCCCTCGTGGGGGGACGACTAAATATAGTCCGTCGCTCACTTTCTGAGCGACTGTTCGGTTCAACTCTCTGTCTACGGACGGAGAGGAACCCGAAGGAGGCTGCGCCGAAGGGCGGAGTCTCCTTCGGGTAGGTAAAACCGGCCCTGAACCCGTTTATGCGGGTTCAAACGGGCATATTTTTGTCACATATTTGCCCCCCAGTTGGGGAGACTGAATAATGTCAGTCGCTCAACTCTTGACCGACTGATCGGTTGAACTCTCTGCCTTCGGGCGGGGAGGAACCCGAACGAGGCTACGCCGAGGGGCGGATTCTCTTTTGGGGAGGTAAACAGGCCCTGAACCCGTTTATACGGGTTCAATGGGCATATTTTTGGCCGAGTCCACGGGCTCGGAGATCCCACGTTAAAAAGGCCTTGTGCCACATGACGCCATCGTGGGGGGGTGACTGAATATCGTCAGTCAGAACAGTGTGAGATAATAGATTGAGATTGTGATTGAGTTGGAGGTAGAGTAATAGTGTGAGGTAACCGCTTGTAGAAGTCAGTTACCATCACGTTGACTATAAGGAAGTCCTACTTCGTGACTGTCCATATCTATATGTTATTGCTACTAACCGCGTTCCTGGATTTACTAACAGTATTACCCTTTGTATGATTGTGTAAATACATTTTATTTCTTATATTTAATTCTTGCGTTTTTCATTCATTAGAGACCGAATTTCATCTCGGAATCCACAACATAAAATTATATAGAAAATGCTTTTTTCTGCAAAGAAACAATAATTATATAGAAGAAAAATATGACGTCCCGATGTGGAGCGCCAACTACTTGTCTTATAAACATTTATTATATTCATGACTATCAAGATCATTTAGTATTCCACATACGTGACCTTGTACCAAACTTCGATCATTTTATGTATAAATGGAGAGATAGGAATGATTAGCTATTTCCTTATAAGGAAAGATTTGGCACCCATTGACGGAACAGTCAGAAGTGTAGATAGATAGATAGATAGATAGATAGATAGATAGATAGATAGGAGGAGACGATAGATAGATAGATAGATAGATAGATAGATAGATAGATAGATAGATAGATATGAATATAAGTAAAAAGATGTGAATAGATAGATAAATAGAGAAACACAGAGAGAGAGCGAAAGCGAGACAGAGACAGAGAGGGAGAGGGAGAGAGAGAGGGGGAGAGTATGAATAGACGTCACGATAGAAAGATAGATACAGATCGACATAAATAGAAATAGATAGATATGAATTGACGTAGCAATAGATAGATAGATATGAATAGACCTAAAAAGATGGGAATAGATAGATAAATAGAAAAACATAGAGAGAGAGAGAGAGAGGGGGGGAGAGGGAGAGATATATGAATAGACTTCACGATAGAGAGATAGATACAGAGCGACCCAAATAGACGTAGATAGATATGAATTGACGTAGCAATAGATAGATAGATAGATAGATAGATAGATTGATAGATAGATAGATAGATAGATAGATAGATAGATATTGAATATGCATAAAAAGATGTTAATTAGATATGAATCGACTGTAGCGATCGATAAGTAAGTAGATAGATATGAAAGACATATATAGGTAGATACGAATAGACATATAAATACGAAGAGATGTAAAAACAGATGTAAATATATATATATATATAGATCTGCCGAATAGATTCATCGGCAGATCGATATATATATATATATATATATTCATATATATCGTATATATATATATATATATATATATATATATATATATATATATATAAATATATATATATATTTCGATTCCGCCTTGAGGCAATCAGATGTCTAACCACGCCGCCGTGCGCCGACGGCTTAGTGGTAGAATCTCCGACTGACGCCAATTCAGTCGGGTTTCGATCCTCGGTAGAAGCAACCGGATGTCTAGCCACACTGAAGAGCTGTGATGCAGCGAAACGGTCTGTCTGTGGATGATGATAATATATATATATATATATATATATATATATATATATATATATATATGAACTCTATTTCAATCCTTCATGAGCTTCAGATGCTTAGCCATCATTAAGTAATCTTCATATGATAGATTTCATCACGATGTATATATACTGATGCGCTTATAAAGGAAGGGAATTTTAACGTGTTTCTCTAAACGAAATACGCCAGTGTCTAGGAGAACTCAATTCGTATTTGAAGAGTAATGATTAATAGCAGTAGGAGCCGCTGTTTTTAAAACTTTTTTCTCTAGAGAGCTCAACTGGATTTCCGCGTGCATGTGTGTGTCTGTGTGTTTAAAGTGATAAACATAAATAGATAGATAGATAGATAGATAGATAAATTTCGTTGTGAAAGAACAAAAGAGAGGTAGAAAGGCAGGAAGACTTCAGCACATGACAAGAGCGACAAAACTGTTTAGCGATGAGCATCTATCCTGATGGCGCTGACGTGTGAAGAGTCTCTTCTCATTTCCTTTCTCATCACAACTGAATCGGCAATAACGTCTCATTTTGAGAGAGCTTCATGCAACCCATATGATCAATTTTCCTTTGCTCTGAACAGCCAAAGTCGTTCCGGCATCAGGTCGAGTCGCAAAATCTTTCGAGCGATACTTTGGAGCCTCGCTCTTTGTCAGTATTTGTTAGCGAATCAGAAAAGAAAAAACAACAAAAAAAAGCGACAACAAAGAACAACAGCCGTGAGCAAAAATGAAACAACAAAAGAAAAGAAAGATTGTTATTGTAGCGAAGCCATTAAAAAGACTATTAGCAAACCCTACCCCCAGGAAATTTCATCAGGGATAGTTCGCTGGTATCGTTAGTGCTTCTTCATTTCGACGTTATCAAGTGCCATGACTCTTGGGTTCGCGATGTCAGAGAAATGAACACCAGGAGGTGTACCCGAGGAGAATGCTTTGAAAAACAGCTGAAAACGCTCTGACAGCGACAGAGAAAACCGTGTTATATTGGAAACAGAAATCACTTTGATTTAATTTGATTCATTCATTTTTTACGGCTTATCAACCCTTGTCGTTTATTTAAAGCCAGAAAATATTTTTAGTTTGTAACAATTTTTTAAAAAAAATTTAGTGATACAGGTTTTACTAATTAACCCATAGCTGGGGTGTCAGAGGTGGATTCATACCATTCCTAGACCGAACATTTACGTGATATCAGTCCTGCTTTATGGTAGCGAATGCCGGACAATCTCCTCGAAGATGAAGAAGAGATTTGAAGCAATAGAAATGAAGTTCTACAGAAAGATGATGAGGATGCGTAGGCTGAACATGTGAGCAACGACGAGGTTTTGTAGAGAACGGAAACAAATTTCTTAACTAGGAAATTTTAGTGGTTCACTTTAGAATATAATTAACAATATATCCCTCCTAAAAAATGGACATTTAAAAATTAAGAAACTATTTATGAATCAATAAGCTTGAGATTTTATTTTTTTTTTCTGGGAGGAAAATTATTACAAAAATGATCAATTCTTTTCGCCAACAAAAATGTCTGTGTGAAGTTATTCGCAAAGAATCTATGTAATTTATTTCTTTCAATTTGAAATAATTATTAAAATTTGTAGAGCCGTGTTGAAGATTTACTTATTCCTTCGCTTATACACGCTTATAAACCTATACAAATATAACCTAAGTGAAGAAAACACGGGTTCATAACTTCTAAAGAGCATTAGAGTGAAATTGAACGCAACAGAGGTTCCCGGAATTTTATCGCAACTAATGTAGATAGATAGATAGATAGATAGATAGATAGATAATGGACTTAATGGGATAGATAGATAAGTTGATAGATAAGGGATATAATGAAATAGATAGATAGATAGATAGATAGATAGATAGATAGATAGATACCATAATGCACTTAATGGGATAGATAGATAGATAGATAGATAGATAGATAGATAGATAGATAGATAAAAATGAACATAATGAGATAGATAAATAGATAGATAGATAATGAAGATAGATAGATAGATAGATAGATAGATAGATAGACAGATAGATACTGAACGTAATCGGATAGATTGATAGATAATGGACATAATGTGATAAATACATAGAGTGATAGATAATGAATATAATGAGATGGATAGCTAGCTAGCTAGCTAGATAGATAATGGACATAATGGGATAGATTGATGGATAAGGGATATAATGGGATAGATACATAGAGCGATAGATAAGGGACATAGATAGATAGAGAGATAGATACCTACCTTTGTGCTTAAAGAGTATACAGCTGGAATCAGAGTTATTTATAACTCCATTATATTATTTTACACTGACTCTAACGTTATCAAAGGAGGCAGTATTTACTATTCTTAGAACTAATAAAAATTCAATCCGTTAAAATTAATGGAATTATTCTTGAATCCAAAATATGTTCCCTCTTTAAATAAACCGAAGCATATTTTGAATTTCAAGAATAATTCTTTTTTTTTTTTTTTTTTTTGCTCGTAAAATATTACATTAGCATTTTTTTTTAAGAATAACAATGTTATTTTCCAGATAAAAAATTCTATTACTTTACCCCTAACTGGAGGCAGCTTCATACCTTTCCCAAGATTATTTGCGCCTAAGTGAATGTTAGGAACCCGGCTTAAATTCGAACACGGCTCTTCTATCTCTTCTTCCAGGCCGCTATCAATTAAACCAGCCGCACATCTAGTCTATGTGGAAGACTAGGCTTCTATTCATAATTCTTTTATGTTCATTTTGGTATGCCCTGTGTGGTTTTATTATTAAATCTGTTGCGATGAAAGAAGAACCGGTATTCATTTTTATTAAACTTCGAACCCTGACTGACAAGGAAGGATACCAGGATGAAATCTGTTGTGACCAAGTATATGCTTAAGAAATATCAAAGCAAGAAGTTACAAATAAATAGTGTATTGAAGAGTAAATACAACAGAAGTGTGTTACACGACTTGGGAGTGTGTGCCGGTTGACCAGTGTTCAGTCTATATCACTATTACTATTTAACAGACCCCCCACCCGCTTAGAGGGATATGTGTGCCACAAGGCCAAGTTTAACGTGTGTTATCCGAGACCGCAGGCTCGGCCAAAAAAATCACCGTAGAACCGGCATAAACGGGCTCGGGTCTGTCTATCTCACCGGACGAGACTCTATCCTTCGGCACAGCCTCGACCGGGTTCCTCTCTGCCCAAACCAGAGAGTTCGACAGGAGCTACGAACAGTCACAGCCTCAGTAGAATAGTCTATATCATCACTATTCCCCCGAGGCTTACTTTCTTACTACTTTATAGTAAATGGAAGAGTCCACAATAGCCTCTTTAGGGGGAAGACACTACAACAAGATCCAGTGTTTTAATTCTGAGATTTTGATTTCATTTTTCTCTCTTTGCTGTTTCGATTAAATCTATTTTGATTAAAGAAGAACTGGCGTTTATTTTTTGTCCAGCTCTTGTACCACGATTTTGAAAGAAATAGTCCCTGCATTTCGGATCTACAGACACATATTAAATTTATTTTAATTGCTGTGATTAAATTTTAGAAATTTAAGTTGAAGTTATTAATAAGCAGTTGCTCCTGTGGCACCATGCATCCAGGCAGAGAAAGAAAGGCAAAAAGGGAAAAGGAAAGAAAAGAAGAAAGGAAGGAAGAAGTAATGCGAGACGGATCATAGGCGAACACACACACACGGCTTAAGAGGCAATAGAAAAAAAAGGGTTATTTTGGATAAGTGGCAAATGCCGAAAGGAGTGTCATTACAATGACAATGCGATTGAGTGGGTAAGGAAGTGTTATCTAAACTATTGGTACGAGAAGGCATCAATTAAAGGCCACCTGCGAGCAAGCATTGACCGATTTCTCCACTTGGCCTGCGCGAATGAAATTGTGTTATCAAGAAATGTTCGCCAAAGAAAGTCCACTTGAAAACGTTAGATTTTGATAATTGGCAAAACACAGGTGTAGCTTGGAGCCTTAGCTGGGTATGGAAAATTAAAATCCCACACAAGTAGTCTTACTAGTTAAGCTCTTTTCGACAAAACAGACTTTTGCCCTGCGATAATAAAATTTTGTTATCAGACACATGAACCGAAGGAAAATGAATGGAATAAGAAATGTTTTTATTGCTGCCTCGGAGACGTCAGACTGGCTGAAAACTTGGAGAAAATTCCTTTCTGAGACCATGTCGGAAAACCCAGCCGTCTGATGCATTAGCGATAAACTGCTTGACAAACGCCACGTGTTGAACAAAGAGTTGTCACATTATCCGTTCATGATAACGGCGATTTGAAAGAAAGAAAAAGAGAAAGAGGATAGATCATTAATTTTTTTAGTTAAACAAGGTATTTCTTTTCCAAAACAAAGCCGCGGGTTGTTCACGCCCGACTAAGACGTCATTGGCCAAGTAGTGATCGCATGACGCACGAAGGAGGAGGAAAGATACCCGACCAAGACCTCATTGGCCGGGAGTGATCACGTGACGCACGAAGAAGACAGTCGACGCCCCCATCCAGAGTATAAGTATGAGAAGCCGCTACGAAGAAGTGGGGAGGGCAGTTCACGCCCCTCAGAAGCATGGTGAGAAAGTGGGAGTGAGAAAAAAGTTATCAAAAATGGAAAAGAGTGGAAAATCCCTAACCAGAAATAAAAGAGGTGGATATGTATTTAGAATTATCGAGGAACTCCCCGACGCCAACAGACCCAACCCGGTTTTTGACGGCGTCAATAAAAACGAGGCCCCAACAGGCAGAAATCAGTTCAGTCTCGGACGGCAGAGATGAGTGCCCAGTAGTTCAGACCCTGGCGGGCAGAAGTTCGTTCGGCCCTGGCGGTAGAGATGAGTGCCCAGTAGTTCAGTCGGACCCTGGCGGGCAGAAGAGAGTTCGTTCGGACCCTGGCGACTTAGAACCAGACCACAGAAATAAGTTTTTTCGACTTTCGCCCAAAGACACACCGAAACACAAACTTCTTAGAGAGCAGACAACTTGAAGCGTTAAAACTTGCCTAGCGAAAGCGACGTGTCACAATCCACAGAACGGGTCGGGAGATAGATGCAGTTCTATGTATCGAACAACTAGACATAAAAGTTTGTTACCTTTTTCTTTGCTACTTTGAACTTTTTGAGTTTTCATTTTATTTTCTTTTGTGTGTTATCACCCCCGTTGAACTCAATATGCATTACGGCCCCAACCCCTGTTTGATCTCGTCTAAGATCAATTCACAACGTGGGTAGGCAGACTGGAGATCAGTGCAGTTACCTTGGTAACCAGGCGTTGGAAACGAGTTGGGAATGGCGAGGCTTATATCAAATCTAACCAGATTCCCACCCGAATCACCAAAAGGTTAGAACGTCACATTTGTGTGCCGCGACCGATACCAAGCCTGTTGGTCGTCACAGTACGAGACAACACGACTGACGCGACAGGCGAACGTCACGTTTG